TCGGAATTTGATGATTCTTGTTCCTATGAATCACAAATAATGATACTAACATAGTCCTTCAATCGAAACTCAATTCGGAGCTCGTTTGCTTGGTGTGATATCCATTTCGCTCGTTAAACAATTAACTCATGTTTCGCGTCAAAACCCCAATCGCGACTTGATGAAATTAGACCAAACTTTCCAGATCAGTCCTATAATTCATTATCAAAATTCTGGAAGTCTTGAAATCAAATTTCGATCTCTAGAACTAAAAATGGACCTTTGGATCATTACATGCTTATGCTCAAAACGACAAAGATCTTCCAAAAACTCTTCCAAAACTTATCCGAGCCTCATGGGACCCTGACCAAACATGCCAACACACCCCATAACGTCATTAAAACTTGTTCCAACCTTCGGAATGCTCAAAACAATATCTAAACATCGAATCACCCTCTGATTCAAGCCTAAGAATTCCAAAACTTCCAAATTCCGAATTCGATCAAAAAGTCTATCAAACCTCGTCCGAATGACCTGAAATTTTACACACACATCCCAAATGACATAACAAAGCTACTGCAACTTCTGGAATTCCATTCCGACCCCTATATCGAACTATCGCCTATCAACCCGAAATCGCCAAAATATCAACTTCGCTAATTCAAGCCAAATCCTTCCACGGACTTCCAAAATACATTCTGATCGCGCTCCTAAGTCCCAAATCACCTAACGGAGCTAACCATATCATAAAAATTCCAATCCGAGCTCATATACCAATAAGTCAACTCTTGGTCAACCCTCTCAAATTCAAAGCTTTCAACTGAGACTGTTCTTTCAAATTCATTCCGATTTTCCCGAAAACCAAAACCAACAATCTACATCAGTCATAATACATTACACAGGGCAAGTCATGCCCGAGAACTAGCGATCAAAGCGCAAAAGCTCTAAACGACTGGTCGGGTCGTTACAAGTGTGGAAGTCATGAGGAAATAAGGTAAGAAAATAATTGAAGACTGATTGTAAATCAATCACATAAGACTCCCTTTAATTAAGGGATTCAAATTCAAACGGGTATAAAACAATTAAGGAAAGAAATTAATCAAACACTTGTGTAAAGCATGCAATTGAGGGTAAATACATAAAGGTTATTTAAGGACAAGGTCTCTGAAATACACGGTTGTACAATTTAAGGAAAGAAAATCAATTAACAGCCAAGAAATCACAAGGTCTGAGATTTGGTATGAATGAACCAAGTCAGAAAGATGGAAAAGGTTTTGACTTAAGGAAAATAAGCAAACAATCAATTAGACCTATTAAAAGGAATTCTGAGTCAATCACTAGTTTGAAAACCTTTTCGAAGAAGGATTCATCACATATAAATCATATAGACACGTTAAACATGAAAGAAACTTTTCATACAATCAGTAGAAATTCCAGTATAGGAGAGTTCAGCAAAAATTCAGAATTGTATGAAAACAGAGATGTTCAAACTTGGTTCAGAGACCCAAAGTTAGTCTGAAAGAACTAGGGGGTCTTTTGAGAAAACCCTAAAGCAAGGATGAGAGGGCAGGAAACTGAATCGAAATCATGTTTGGAAGCTTCAAAACTCATGAGAAACATGATAGCAAAGTAACATGCAATCACAATAGAAGGATTCAAAGAATATAATGGTAAATACTGATAAGAACAGTAGAAAAAGCATGCTTATAAGAAACTTAAACAAGGCTTAGTAGAAGGCAAACAAAGAAGCTTAAAACTTAGCAGGAAAATACAGTAGAAGGGCACAAGAACACCGGAAAAGTATAGCACAAAGCATATAAGAAAACACAGTAAGATAAACATATCAGAACATGGTAAAAAATACAGTAGAGAAGCATATCAGAACATAGTGGAAGAAAATAGCAGAACATAGTATAGAAAACATAGTAGAAGAAAGAACGAAATATAGAAAGCAGTGGAGGAACACACGTGGTAGAAGGAAAACATAAGAACACAGTAGAAAAACATACGAGACCATAATATAGGAAAACATAGTAAGAGAAGCATATAGGAACATGATACAAGAACACAGTAGAGACAAATACACATAAATGACAAAGAAAAATCATAAAAACATTTAAACGTTTTTTAGAAAACCCTAGATCAAAAAAGAAAGGTTTTTGAAAGTGATTTTGAAAGGAAAGTCGGGAGAATCGTTTAAAACATTCAAGTAAATCACAGATACACAATGGATTTAAGAAGATCGGAGAAGAAAACCTCGAAGGGTTAGGGTTTCAGAAGAACCCTAAAATGAGAAAGGCTTTGAAAAGGTCACCGATCGGAGTCGGAGAAGGTCGGAATCAGACTCAAACAACTATAGCACGCCGGAGCAAGGCCGGAGATGGCCGGAAACCTCGAGTCGGCGAAGGTCTGAGTGAAGACCTTCGAGGTCTGGCCTCGAATCTTCAAGTATCCGGCACATAGGAGTAATAGGAGGTGAGTATAGGACCCCCATGGCCTGAGAAACCATGGTTTCCGGTGGGTTTCACGGTTGAAGACGGTGGGAGACGATTAGGGTTCCAGGAATGTTCGAGAGAGTTTGAGAGACGAAGGGATTCAAAGGCGGCTGATTAGGCGAAAGTGATTAGGGTTAGGGGTGTTTGGGAAATTAAAAAGGAAAGGGGAATTATGGCCGTTGATCAAAATGATCAACGGCCTGGATCAAAAGGGGAGCCGGGCGAGTTTTTTAATTGGGTTATGGGCGGGTAAATTTGGGACTTGGGTCCGGTCCGTTTGAAATTGCAATTGGGGTTTAATGAGGGGTCAATTTGGGCTAAAATCGAAATAAATAGGGCTAACTTTTAAATAGCCACTTTTTCCCTTTTTATTTTATAAAAATAGCAAAATGATTTCTGAAAATAAATTAATGGTGCTAAATTAATTAATAGTATATAAATATTAGATTAAAAATACTGGAATCAAATTTGTAATTATAAACGCAATTAGTTTTTAAAATAGGCTAGTATTGCAATTAAGTGCAATTTAGCTTTAAAAATACCTAATCAATTTATAAAAATGTGAAAAAATTACCTGAGCTATATTTTGGTATAAATATGAGGATAAAATAAGTGAATCACCAAAAATGATAATCTTGGGAATAACTATTGGTTTTGCACTGTTAAAATAGGGCAATAAATTGGTTTAAGAATCTTTTAAAAATTTGAAGAATAATAAAACACTTGGACATGCTTATATATGCATATATATACTATTTTGAAAGTATTTTGCATATAAAAAATATACGGGAAAAAATTGGGTATCAACAGTCTTGAGACCCGAGTAGACTTGTTACTTCTAGACATGGTTGATTTTGATGTCATATTGGGGATGGACCTGTTATCGCCTTACCACGCGATCTTGGACTGTCATGCCAAGATTGTGACCTTAGCCTCTTCGGGGTTACCTCGTTTAGAGTGGAGAGGGACTCCTGGTCATTCTACCCATAGTGTTATCTCATACATGAAGGCTCGGCGCATGGTCGAGAAGAGGTGTTTGGCCTATTTGGCATATGTTCGTGATTCTAGTGCCGAGGTTCCTTCTATTGATTCTGTGCCTGTTGTTCATGAGTTTCCTGAGGTATTTCCTTCTGACCTGTCGGGTATGCCACCCGACAGGGATATTGACTTCTGCATTGATTTGGCTCCGGGCACTCAGCTCATTTCTATCCTGTTGTATCGTATGGACCCGCCTAAGTTGAAAGAGTTAAAGGAGCAGTTGCAAGACTTTCTTGAGAAAGGCTTCATAGACCTAGTGTCTCGCTGGGGTACGCCAACGTTGTTTGTTATGAAGAAGGACGGATCGATGCGAATGTGTATAGATTACTAGTAGTTGAACAAGGTTACAATCAAGAATAAGTATCCATTGCTGAGGATTGATGATTTGTTTGATCAGCTTCAGGGTGCCAAGGTATTTTCGAAGATTGACTTGAGATCTGGCTACCATCAATTGAGGATTAGGGCATCCGATGTCCCTAATACAGCTTTCCGCACTCGGTACGGGCATTGTGAGTTCATGGTGATGTCATTTGGGTTGACCAATGCCCCAGCAATTTTTATGGATGAACCGAGTTTTCAGGCCTTACTTGGATTCATTCGTGATAGTCTTCACTGATGATATTTTGATTTATTCCCGCAGTCGGGAGGAGCATGAGCGGCATCTGAGAGTTGTTCTTCAGACTTTGAGAGATAGTCAGTTGTATGCTAAGTTTTCGAAGTGCGAGTTTTGGTTGGGGTCAGTTTCTTTCTTGGGTCATGTTGTTTCAGCAGAGGGTATTCAGGTAGATCTAAAGAAGATAGAGACAGTCAAGGACTGGCCTAGACCCGCATCAGCTACAGATATTCAGAGTTTCTTGGGTTTGGCAGTCTATTACCGTCGGTTCGTGGAGGGCTTTTCATCTATTGCAGCCCCGATGACCAAGTTGACCCTGAAGGGTGCCCAGTTCAGGTGGTTGGCGAGTGTGAGGTGTGCTTTCAAAAGCTCAAGACAACTTTGACGACGGTGCCGGTGTTGGTTTTGCCCACAGGTTCAGGGGCATATATTTTTTGTTGTGATGCATCTCGTCTTGGACTTGGTGCGGTGTTGATGCAGGATGGCAAGGTCATTGCTTATGCTTCCCGTCAGTTGAAGATTCATGAGAAGAACTATCCGTTCCATGATTTGGAGTTAGCAGCCATTGTTCACGCATTGAAGATTTGAAGGCATTATCTGTATGGCATGGCATGTGAGGTGTTCACGGATCACAAGAGTCTGTAATACTTGTTCAAGCAGAAGGAGTTAAATTTGAGGCAGAGGAGGTGGTTGGAGCTATTGAAAGACTATGATATCACCTTTAAACAATGCCTGAAATTCAACTCAGCTTAACAACAATAATTCAGACATTCGAGTTTTTGGACCTTTCAACAAAGTAAAAAGACTACTACTTTTTGATAAGGTAAAGATTAACAAGTAAAAAGAGTACTAAGCTGTATAAAAGTATTTTTGACCTTGATGTGACCGCTCGGACCTATCAACAAGTTATCTGGCTTCAAATCTCTGTGAATGATATTTAAAGAATGTAGATACTCCAATGCAAGAACCTGGATAGGACAAGACAAATAAGATCTATATACCATTTCTGGGAACAGCAGAAAAGTTGGTAGGATGCCAAAGTTTGGCAAGCCTATTAAACTAGTCCTTACTAGTTCTGCAATGTATATACGTGCCATATCTTCCTCTAAGCAGCCCAAATTTCTCAATAATGAGAAAAGATCCCCACCATTTAGGTACTCCATGACCAGATAAAGATTATCCCTGCATGTGAAGGAGTAAAAAAAGCGGACCTGTTCACCACCAGATAATCCATTAGTATGGTTTCTTAGAAGTGCTTTGTTTCTTATTTTAACAGTGTGATATTCGTTAATTTCAATTAACGTAAACTTGATTCATAAAAGAGAAGAGATCGACTAACCACAAAAGGATTGCGGACTGATATTAAAATATCTCTCTCGGCCAATATATTTTCTACTGCATTTTTCCGTATCATGTCAGCCTTTTTCAAAACCTGCGAAAAATATGGTCGATAAAGTTCAGGGAATGGAGTTAGAACCCAAAATGGGCAGAAAAAATAGCAAAAAATGCAAAATCAATATGATTGGTAGGTTTGACAGAAAGACAGAGAACATAGTTCAAACAACATAACTATAGGCAACGAAAATTCGAGACCTAACAGGTTATTAGTTTTTTATAGAGAATAGTTTTCGATATATAAGATGTGATAGATTCAGGAGAAGGAAGCTTCCAGACTTTGATTTTGAATAAATTAGTGGACGGAATCATGGATGTATGCAGGGTGTGTGTGTGTGTGTGTGTTAGTTTCATTTAGTTTCAACATCTAACTTATATACAGAATAATAGGAAGATCTCCTGCAAATTACTTGAAATTATTATCCTTCAATTGGACACAGTTTTTACCTTGATTGCAAATACGTCACCTGTTGCCCTTTTCTTGGCCAGGAAAACTCTCCCAAAAGCTCCCCTGCTGATTGGTTTTATAATTTCAAAATCTTCAATAGATGTTCGATCCTTGGACACTGTGTTTATAGGGCTTGCACGCACACTACGACTTGTATCATCTTCTGTTGAACTGTCCTCATCACCTGTGGTATTGGATGGTTCCACTTTTTCATCTTCAATGTGCCCACAAAGTAATACATATTTCTCCCTGTAGAGTTTGAGTAAACATGCAAATTAAAAGTAGAATGATGTCTGGGGTCAAAGATGAACTAAAAGCAAAACATAAACTTCTCTTAATTTCTGTCGACAGTTATTATCATTTTTACGAAAATTTACAAGAATAATAGAACTCACTGCAATAGTTTCTCAATACGTCTCCCGAAGGTCTCAACAACAAGAGCATCCACTTTCCTTTCCTGAATTGCATATTTTAGGTCTTCTAGTCGGTCAAGCAAGTATTCCAATGTACTGTAATCATTGTTGTTTGCGTTGGCAACTGATCGAGCAATATCCAATAGCTTATTTATCTGCCATGATTCTCCACGATGTAAAAAACAGACTTAATCAACGTCCAATTGATAAAACAAGCAATTAAGGAACCTATACTATTTAAACACCAATTGGGTGGCGGAGAGCACAAATGTCAAAACTATAACAAAAACCAGAATATGAAAATAATGACCAATAATTTATACTACTAATAAAAATCCAACTTCCAATAGTAGCTTGGTGGCTCAACACTCCTAAATGTGTAAACCTAAAAATCATCCTCAAATTCCTGCTACTAACTTCAACATTATGGGGCTAAACTGGTCTGTTTATTGTACTACATCCGGTCGTCTTTTAGTCCCGCCATCTAGTTTCTTGTTTTTCTTGACCTGAAAACACTCTTAGTTACATTATTTTACATTAAGCTTTTGCAAAGAATTTCATTTAAAATATAAAAGAATTATTTCAAAATATAAGCACCCAGACAAGTTTGCCAAAATTTATGATAATGCCTTATGGGCTGTAGGGCATTACAAATAAAAATAAAACATACAAAGAGAGAGAGAGAGAGAGAGAGAGAGAGAGAGAGAGAGAGAGAGAGAGAGA